AAAAAATTGAAATATTGCACCAAAAAAAATTGAAATATTTCTCTTGTGTATTGGCACATCTTTTTAATCTCAATTAAAAGATTTCACTTTATTAACAATTTTTTATTTTTAATTTTATTTTTATTAACGACAACATGAAAGTAAAATTTAATCAGTTGGCAATATGAATATTTAGGAGCTTCAAATCATACAACTTTAGTTTGAAACTTTTTTTTTGGGGGAGAAATAACAACTATGGTGTGTTTTTTTTAATTAATTAATTAATTAACAACAATAATAATAATAATAATAATAAATTATGAGTAAGTTTGATATGCAAATATAATCTTTAAATTTATTTTTCCTATGATTTGAAATAAAATGATGTGATTCAACATGATAATTATAATTGTTGGAGTAATAAAATAGTAAATATGTATATTTCTATATCCCACCAAAACATAATTAATAAAATCAATATTATCAAATGTAAATCTTCAGAGTATTTTTTAAAACTATATGTTGATGTCGAAACTCGGACGATCAACCGTTGAAAATGAGTCGAATCTCTCGTATGAAAAATGAGAAAACTGAAATGGGTGTGGGAGGAGAAAATGAATAATCCCCCTTCTCTTTCCCCATGTTTACATATATATAGGGGACTCCTTTATTCAGTTTTTAATGCCCCACATGGCCACTTATCAATATAATAATATTCTAGTACAACTTTATTAAATATGATGTAATTGGCGGGGCTCTACGATTTTGACTGACAAATACAATTACGACTTCTCTGTCTGCAATTATCGCGTCGAGCGGGGCGGTTCGTTGATGATATTTGTGTCATCCGATCTTTTTTACCTCTGCTCGGTTTGGCATAAGATGGACTCGGCATCGGGGGACCCGTCGGTTTTTAGGTGATCAGTCTTGAGTACCTGTTTTGTATATTTATTTATAATGTATTTTTGGCTCCTTGGTTATTGGGCCGTACTTTATTATTTCATTCATCATTTATTTAATCGGAGCCAAATTGGGTATCAACACTATATTTTAATTTATAAATGTTATTTATTTTACAATTTCTTATCAAACGAGTATACATATTGAATAAGATAAATAATGTAATTAACATTTTTTTAAGATTTTGAGTGAGTTGGCATTCCAGAGAGTCAAATCCTCAACTTGTCATGCGCTTACTGTCTGTTATGGCATTTCAATACGCCTCTGAATTCTCCAGTCCACATATGGAGACTACGTGCCCTAGAAAGTTAGGGATAATATTCCCATCAAGGGGGGCACCGAGCACTGGCCTAGTATCTGCATTAGAATAGAACATGTATATATGATATATTATGAATGAGTGCATCAATGATATGTTATTATTAAATAAAAAAAATTAATGATAAACAACAATAAGTACGTAAATTATTTACCTGAGGATCCAGTACCCTCAAAACGGCCCCCAACATGTGGAGGAGTAGGGCTGCAAACGAGTCGAGCCGAGTCGAGCATTGGCCTTATCGAGCAGGATTGAATTTTTTTTAGCTGCTCGAGCTCGTCGAGGTCGATTTCTTAGGCTCGAGCTCGACTCGATAAAAAAATTCAATAGCTCGAGCTCGGCTCGAATTTGGCTCGAAAAT